GGATTTCTTTCCACAGTGGGCGGCCATGCTGAGCTCCCTGTCAAAGCAGCAACCAAGAAACCCAGACACATTTCTCTGAGCAGGAGTTCCAGTCTGTGACTCTGCTTATTTAATGTGATGTCTTCTGGCCTGTGGGAGACTGTAACAGTGAAAACAGGCTGAGGACAGTATGGGGCCTCGTGCAGCTCCGGATTCCTGCTGCTGTCCCCCACCGCAGTGGAAGGACTAGCTGAGGGTGCCTGGGGGACAGGACCGGCGGTGGCCATTCCCACGGCTTTGCAACAGGATGCTCCGTTCCCAGTGTGCTGGAGATGGGCTCAAGCCCCCTCCCCGGCCCCTGCTCGCTGCCTTGGCCAGGGACTGCATTTCTCCTGAATGAGCTCAGTCCCTGGGGATGCAGGACCTGGGGCCAGGCCAAGATGCAGCTGCCGGCACGCTGACCAGGAACCTGAGAATGTGCCCTCCGCCTCTCCTCCCAGGACCACAGGCCCACCCTCTGTGCGGAAGCCAGACCAGGTCCTCCTGCCCAGGTGGGAGGCTATGGGAGTGCAGCAGGTCCAGCAGGATGAGGGCTGCCTGGCTACGTGTGGTGTGGCTGGACCCCAGGGCCTGGGAACCCAGACAGGCCCACTGGACACTGCCTCTGTGTGGCCTCTAACTCTAGAACCCTCCATGGCTCCCCACTGCCCACAATGGCACGACCTCTCTACCTCCCCAGTTTCACCCCTCTGCTTTTCAGCCTTGCTAGCTTTTATGAAGGCTGTTCCCAAGAACAGGAACCCCTGAAGGCTTTTCTTTTACACCTGGCCACTCTGGGTGACTCTCCAGCTCTGCTCACCTTCATTCAGCCACTCAACAAACATTGATCAACTACCTACTTACTTGGTGGCAGGTCTTGTTGTAAAGAGAGGTGGTCCAGAAAACAAAACACGAAGGAAAAGATATCAGAGCTATTCAGATGAAGTGGGACCGAGGGAAAGGAGAGATTTCAGCCTGGAAGTTGGGACGGGCTTCACTAAGAAGGGAATCTTAGAACAAGACCTAAAAGAGAAAAAAGCTGGGAGTGCAGGCCAATGGTAGAACACTTGCCTGGCATGTGTGAGGTGCTGGGTTTTATCTCCAGTACTAGAGAAGAGACAGACAGAGAGACAGGGAGGACAAGTGCAGTGGTACACGCCTGTAACCCCACCACTGAGGGAGGCTGAGACAGGAGGATTGCAAATGTGAGTCCCATCTGGGCAACTTGGCAAAACCCTGTCTCCCGATAAAAAATAAAATGTAAAACAGGCTGGGGAGGTGGCTCAGTGGTAGGGAGCCCCTCATTTCAATCCTCAGTAGAGTGAGAGAAAGGAAGAAAGGAAGGAAAGGGTTGGAATTGCAGACAGCCACAGGAACAGTGTTCGATCGCTCTGAAAGATCTGCCTACTTGTCTCCCAGGGAGCCATCCCGGAACTTGGTCTCCTCCATCTGGGCTCTGACCCCTTCACACAACCCTGCCTGACCCCCCTGCAGACGGCGAGCTCTGTGGGCATCTGTCATGCTTAAAGCTGAGTGTCAGTGTCTAGCACAGACCGGATGCAGAGGCGGTGAAAGAATTGTCTTTTTTTCTTGTGCTGGGAATAAAATCCAGGCCCTCACACATGCTAGGCAATTTCTCTACCATTGAACTATCTCTCAGCCTTACTCGTTGTTGCTGAGTGAATGAATCAGGAGCCAGGACCCAGCCCGTCACCTCTCCCTGCTCTGTATCCCGCACTCCCACTGCGCTCTTCCCTTCTCTGTTCTACCCTACAGTAATTGTAGATGTTCCCGTCCTTTGGCTGCCAGGTGCCTATGGCTAGGAGGAGTCCCTGGCAGAAGATGAAGCTGGAATAAAGTGAGAAAGGGACATTAATCCTCCTCCTACAAGGTCACTCTGGCTGCCCGCGTCCCTTGACCAAAGATCCTGTCCACATCACCCTTCCCCAAGCTCTGCAAAATCTCTTCCTTCCCCTTGCCTGGGAGGGGCAGAGGTGCTCGCTTCAGGGTGTTGCAAGAATTCATATTGCTTTTCCCCAACTCTGCCCCCAAACTGGATGAGGACAGTCCCTGTAGCAAATGTCTCAAGACCTCCCATTTGAACAGCTCATTTGTTGCCCCAGCTGGGTTCCCATCTTCCTTCTCCACCCCTGCTTAACCTACTCCTGCTTAGCCAAGCCCTGGTGCTCAGCTGCCCCACTGACTTTCTCCCTTATGTTGTGGGAGAATTTAGCTGTCCTAGATCCTCAGGCCTCTGCACAGCTCAGTCTTCATCCTGCCTCTCCAGCTGTTCTGAAACCAGACTCTGCCTATGCTCCTTGATACTCCCCCTCCCCTCCGGCCCTGCTGGGCGTCCTACTCCGGCGGCCTCTCTCTTCTGCCTGTCTTTCAATGGTTAGGACCCCTAGGGCTCAGTCTCCAGTCTTAGTCTCCACTCTGTTAAGGACAGACGCTACACTGTCTCGCAGCTTCGCGTCTCCCTCCCCCACCACACACTGATGCAGGCTGGGCCATCTCCTTCTTCAGCCCAGATGTTTCTAGATCTCCCATCTCAAGGGCCCAGATTCCTCCGGCGAACATGCCCCAAACTTGCCTCTGCGCCTTTCAGGCACCTGAGCTCCTGCTCAGCGCTTGGAGACTCTAAGGTCCAGACCACGCCCACTGTTCCAGCCCCTCCCCTCCCCCGGTCTGGCTACTTCACCAACCCCCAAGTAATATTCCAGACACACAGATTTGCCCCTCGCCCTCCCTTACTGGCATTTGAAATCCCTTACAGTCTCATCTTCCTGCCCCAAACTTTCCTCCCTGTCTCTTGAAAACGATAAATCACCCTTGGGAGGCTTCTGCAGGTTGGAGCACTTTTTCCCCCCAAAGATCAGCTCCAAGGTCACCTCCTCCAGGCAGCCTCCCGCCCCCTCTTCCTCCTGTCACCCCCCACCCTCTTGGAGGCTGACCACACCAACTGGCAGTGTCTCCTGCTGTCTCCCCTGCCCTCCTCTAATGCCTGGCCAACAATTTAGAGCTGGTGGCGCGAATGAGTGAATGGACAAATGATGGAAAGTGGTCTGAATGAATGTGTGAGTGTGAATGAATGAATGGCAAATGATTGAACGTGGTCTGGAGGCAGGGCCTTAAAAAAAGAAGAGCGAGCCCGAGCCCAAGCCCAAGTCCGGGAGGACCTCCAGCTCTCCAGTTCTCTGCTCCCGCCCAAAGTGAATAGAAGGCTCAGCTCCCCCCCACCCCCAAGAAAGACGTTCTGTGATTGGCTCAGGCTGGAGAGGCCAGTCTAGACCGTGATATGAGTTTCTATTGGCTTACTCCCCAGAAATTTGCCCAATCAACGCGATCGCAGAAGACTCCTCCCCCCCCGCCTCCCTCCCGCCAGCAACCTGGAAGGCGGAAGCGGGCGCCTTCTGGTTACCGTGGCAACCGTCCGCCGGAGTAGTCCCGGCAACTGTCAGAAACTTCCCGTCAGCCTTTGCCTGGGCCCCTCCAGTCACCCCGACAACCACTACCCGTTCAGATCAACCATCAACCCTTCCACCATCACCCTGGCAACCATCGATAGACGCTCTGCCTCCTGGATGCAGTCCTCATCTTGCCCACAGGTCTCCTCTCTCCAGACCTCCATCCTAGGCTCGGATCCCTAGGCCCCATGTTTCAGGTCCCCCTTTTCGTGACCCAGACGGAGGCAGGTGTTGCTCCCACCCTGCGGTGTGGGGAGAGCAGGTCAGGTCCTGAGGGTTCCTGCTCGGTGGAGTCTGAGAGACTGCACTGGGCTGAGACGGCCCCTTGCTTGTCTCTCTGCTCGCGCTCTTGCATGGAACTGTGCGGCCACCACAGGGAGCTCTTCAAAATGCAAGCCATGTCCTTCCCCTGTTGAAAACCTCCCCTGGCTCTCCTTGAGAATCCAATCCAAACTCCTCGCAGTCCCTGGCAGTCTAGTTAGCAGCCACTGGCCTCCGCATTGTTTTTCCAATAGCCCGAGCTCCTTCCAGCCTTGGATTTGCCTCTTAACTTTTCCTGGGAAAAGTGCATCCCTCAACACCATCAGGGTCCCACCTGTGAATCCTCAGGGGGAAGCTTTACCTGCTCTGTCACTTGCATAGCCCTCTCTCCTTCCCTCTCCTCTGCGAACCCCAGAGCTCCAAGATTGCCTGTGGGGCTTCTATCCCTGGGAAGGAATACAATGGCTGGCACTCTTGGTGAGAGAAAGCAAGTCTTTTTGGGGACAAGTGAGGGCCAGACAGGCTCATACCCAAAAAGGCTTTCTGTGGGAGGGGGATACTAGCGATGGATTCTTCAGTGATCTCTACTTTTTATTTTAAGAAAGGGTTTTGTTAAAATGCCCAGTTTGGGCTGGAACATGGGGTCCTCCGGCCTCAGCCTCCCAGAGTGTTAGAATTACAGGTGTGTGCCACCACGCTCAGCTAAAAGAATGTATTTTTCAAGTCTTCTGAATCCTCAGCCTGCAGGTGCTGACCTTGTCCCCAAAGGCTGAGCAAAAGCCACGAGGAGAGAAGTCGGTGCTGTGACCAGCTTGGACCCCTTGTAAAAATCTTGTTTGGACTTCTAGAAACTTGAGCTAATTTGAAGCAGAAGATTCTAGGAGCTGGAGGGGCAGGATTCAGAGCCCTTATGGCTAACTGGGGAGCTGGTGCCTTTCTGGACTGAGTCCAAAATTGCATGTATCCTGAAGACCCCAGAGCTGTTTTCCCAGGGCTCTGAGACAGGCCAGCCCAGGCTGGGGTGAGAGAACTTGACCCGACTTTGACTTGGTCTTGATGGGGACCTGAGCCTGGCTCCAGAGGAGACTGCACACCTACCTGCCTGCCCGTGAACCAGCCTTGGTAAGGAGTGTCCCTCTTAAACTCTGACAGTCTAATGATATCTTTTTTTTGAGATAGGGTCTTGCCTTGAAATGATGTCATCCAGGTTGGCCTTGAACTCACACTGATCCTCCCACCCAGCCTCCTGAGTGCTGGGGTAACAGGTGTGTGCCACCACACCCAGCTTAATGGAACTTTCTTCACCAGTATGACAAATAAGCACTTGATATATAGCCAGTGTGACTGAGGCACTGTATTTTGTCATTAGATTTCATTTGGATAAATTCGCACTTAAGTGCAAGTAACTACACGTGTCTAGCACTACTGTATTGGATTCAATAGTGAAGAAGAATTAAGATCCAGGTTTGAGACAGAAGCCAGGGACAGGAAGACCAGAGTTTACGGTTTTGTGCAGCCACAGGAGGCCAACTGTCGCAAGGAAAGGTAAGATACTCGGTCTTAGCTGGTGGCTCCACCAAGGGGAGGCATAGCCAGTTTCCAAGTCACAATGCTTGCTCACACATGCATGCAGCCAGGCCTGTGTGTGAGCACAGGGCCTGGTGTGCCTAACATATTTCCGTGTGACCCAGGCGTCCATCCCAGGCATGCTCAGGGAGCAGGTGTGTGTTCCTGAGTGTGCATGTTCCTGTGCACCCAGAAAGGCAGGTGAGCGAGGGCCACTAGTGCAGCAGGTCTTGCAAGAAGGCCCACATGTACTGGTGCATCTCCCGGGGATGGCTCTGGGGGATGTAGTGTCCTGCGTCTGGAAGGATGTGGGCCTCCAGCCGGCCTGGCACAAAGCGGCTCTCGATGGCCCTCACTATCCCCGCCTGGAAGTAGGGGTCTTTCTCTCCCCACAGCAGCAACGTAGGTACAGCCAACTCCTGGGGCTCCAGGGGGACTTGCCTGTGACGGAGGCAGACAGACAGATGATGGTCACCCCTACTCCCTGCCTCTGGAACTCTCCTGCACTTCCACCCTGGGGGTGGCCTCACCTGAAGAGGTTTCGGTAGTAGTTGATGGGCCCAGTGAGGCCGCCAGGCTGAGAGAAGCCATAAAGGAAGGCCTCGAGCTCACAGGGGGTCAGGCGTGGGATGCCCGTCTTGCGGTCAGTGAGGGAGCTCTTCAGGATCTGGGTATACAGCAAGGATCTGGCTGCAGTGTCCAGCCTGCCAGGTCCGACCCACTGCCTCCCACCCCCAGACCTTCACCCCACTGCACCTGGAAGTCAGACATGGACAGCAGCTTCTCTGGCAGCCTGGGAAGCTGGAACAGGAACATATAGTTCGATCTGAAGAACTGGCTGATGTGGCGAATTGAGTAGTCTGAGAACAAGAGGAAGGTGGATGTAAGGCCTAGGCCGGGAGATGGCCTGAACCCCTAAATCCCTACACAGACCCAGTCAAGCACACAGGCCTCAGGAACGAATGCCACCATGGCTGTCGGTGAAGACACCAGGGCTCCGTCCTGGCCTAGGGCCCCACACCACCCCTCCCTGCCGGGAGTCTGAATCCACGCAATGCACATCCCTCTGCAGCTCCCGTGTGCTTGCCCTGTCCAAGCACTGCCTTGCTTCATTCAATAAACACTTATTGAGCACCTGCTACATTCTAGGCCCTGTCCTAGACCCGGGAGACACAGTATTGAGCGAGGGAGAAGATGACAGAGAGAAGAGAGGGAAGGAGGGCCTGGCAAGCACAAGGTCCCAAGTTGGATCCCCAGTACCACAAAAAAAAAAGAGAGAAGAGAGGGAGGGATAGAGGGAGGAAGAGAATGAACACAATATTGACCACAATCCATGCTGAGATTTAAAATCAGGTGAGGGTTGGGGTGTAGTTCAGTGGTAGAGCACTTGCCTAGCATGTGCAAGGCCCAGGGTTCCAACCCCAGCACAGCAAAATCAGTCATTCAAAATGAACTCCGGTGATACAGGCTAGGGGGTGTAGCTCAGCACAGAGTACATGCTCAAGCACACATGAGGCCCGGGGTCCAATCCCTGACACCAAGAACAAAACAAAACGGACATAGACACACACACACACACACACACACACACACACACACACACACACAGAAACCCTGCATCCCAGGAGCCCTATGTGGGTTACTATACACAGGCTCCTTGTCACAGGTTTTTGTTACAGGTTGAGCATCCTTCATCTAAAAATCTGAAATCTGAAATGCTCTAAAATCCGAATTTTTTTTTTCTTTTTTTTGTAATGGGGATTGAACTCAGAACCTTGCGTTTGCGAGGCAGGTGGCAGAACTACTGAGCTAAATCCCTGGACCCCTTTTTGTATTTTCTAGAACCACAGTCTCACTCTGTAGTTCAGCCTGGCCTTGAACTCACCGTGTAGACCAGGCTGGCCTTGAATTCAAGTTTTGGGATTACAGGCAGGTACCACCATGCCTAAACATAAAATGCTATACGTGCAAAATTCCTTACCTGACCTCTGATGTATCAATGCTTACCATCTATTTCACACAAAAAAATAATTTAAAATATTCCATAAATTACTTTCAGCTTATGTGTATAAGATATATATGAAATATAAATTATTTCATGTTTAAACTTAAGTTTCATCAGCAAGATACCTCATTATGTGTGTGTAAATACTCCAAAAACATGAAATCCAAAACACTTCTAGTTCTAAACAGATGTGTGCGAGTGTGTGTGTGTGTGTGTGTGTGTGTGTGTCACAAGTGCATGCAGTGGGGATCTAATCCAAGCGTTTCCACCATGTGGAAACACACTTCTTAGTGCATTCTCATTGATTTTATTTGTTTATTACAGTATCGGAGATTGAACCAAGGGGTACTGGCCTACACCCTCAGCAATTTTTAAAGAATTTTTAAAATGTTGAGACAAAAGCTTGACAGGTTGCTTAGGCTGGCCTTGAACTTCTGATCTTATCTCAGTCATCTCAGTAGCCGAGATTACAAGTGTGTGTCACCACCCCTAGCTGTCAATGACTTTAGATTGAGGAGTATCCTGGTATATGAACAGGAGAATGGAGAAATATAAACAAAGACACATGCCCCTCCCCAGGCATTTTCCACCAGCATTCTCAACACACCTTGGAACACCGACATGGGGGGAGCACTGACCACTACCATCCGCTCAACAAGGGATGGGAAATAAATGGAGAAATTCCAGGCGAGGACAGCACCCCAGTCGTGGGCCACAAGGATGCACTTGGAGTAACCTAGGGGACAGACATGCCGGTGTGAGATGCCGGGTATGGAAAGGCAGGAGTGGGGGATGTAGGTCTCAACAAAGCACAGGCATGAGGAGATGTGTGTGCATCCCCGGGATCGGGGCTTGTCCTCACCCAGGCCCAGGATGATATCCTGGATGTCAGCCATCAGCAGGTCCATGGTGTAGCATTCCACATCCTTCGGAGCCTCTGAGGGGACGTAGCCTCGAAGGTTCACAGCCACGACATGGAAGTGGCTCTGGAACTCCCGGAGCTGGTATCGCCAGGAAAACCTGCCCAGTGGGAGGGGATGTAGGGGGAGCCTGAGTCAGGGCCCCTAGGCTGCATCTCCACCCTCTGCTCACTAGGGTGGTGACACCGCCTTCCACCTCCGGTCTTCCCAGAAGGGAAGATGGGGGAATCCCGAGCAGAGGAACATGCCAGCTGCACCCCAGATCCAGCACAGGATCAACAGCAACAGTGTTTCACGGCCATCCCTCCAGGGCTGCCAGATAAATCCTGGAGCAGTTCCTGCCTACTTCTGAACAGTGTGGACCCTAGACGCTCTGCACCAGAAAGAGTACCTAGCCCTCTTTCCCCACTCCCTGGGTACCCTCAGTCTCGGCTGCACCTCTCCCCAGTCCCGTAAGCTCCAGGCCCGGGCCCTGGACATACCAGTTCTGAGGGAAGCCGTGCAGAAACAGCATGAGGGGCCCGTTTCCGCGACCAGCAGAGACAAAGTGCAGGCGCAGGCCGGAGCTCTGCGGGAGAGCACCATCTAAGGCCTGGGAACCCTTGCTCCCTTGGCCCCAGCCCCAGGCCTCTGTGCCCACCCGGGTTTGGATTTGACCATCCCGGCTTGGCTCATCCCCCAGGTCCCCTGCAGCTCACCGAGAGGTTCAGGAAGCCGTGCTCGCCCAGTGTGGGGTCTACCAGGCAGGCGGGAGCCGCACGCCGGGGACGCCCGGAGCAGCCACGGCTGGGCCTGCACAGCACGTGTGTGAGCGCGACGCAGCCATAGACAGCGGCGGTCAGTATCGCCGCGGAGTACACGAAGATCCACATAAAGAAGCGCAGCAGCTTCAGCGAGATGCGTGAAGGAGCCAGCAGAGCGGTCACCACCAGCTCAGGCATATTGCCTTGCTCCGATACAGCGACGGCGCTGCAGGCCGAAGACGGAGCTGAGCACACGGGTAGCAGGGGCGAAGAAGGATCGGACCTTGGGAACCCACTACCTTTGGTCCGGGACCCCTTCGTGCCTTCGGGGTTGGTGGGAGGCGCTGCAGGAACAGACAGGGATGGCTCAGATAGAAACTGCCACCGCTCCATGACTCACCTACAGAGCCAGGTAAACATCTGGGCGCGACACTACCCGGTAGAGTGAGGGGGAGGTGTCCGGGAGGACCTGGCTTCGGTGGTTGGGGAGGGGCTTTGGGAAAAGGGGGGGGCCAATGGACTGGGCACACGAAACTCTGGGTGGGTGGAGCTTAAGACAGGGACAGGGGCCTAGGAGGACTTCTGCAGCAGGTGGGGAGGGGGCTCTAAAGGAGATTGGGAGCAGGGACAAAACGAGGGGAGAGGTTCCTGGGCGAAATGGGCGGAGACTCGTGTGAAGGGGCGGGCCCTACGCCTTGGGAGTGAGGCTTCTGAGCCGGGAAGGTGGACCCGATTTGGCTCTGGAGCAATGTAAGGATAAAGGCGTGGCTTCTGCAGGGGGAGTGGGTGTGGCCTAGAGTTGGGGCCTTACACTGAGCAGTTATGGACAGAGGTTGGCCCAGTGAACTGAGGATTGGCCTTGGATTGGGCCAATGAGGCAGGGGGCGGAGCCAAACAATAAGGCGGGTCAGACTGGCCCGAAAGCGGAAGAGAGACCTGTGGTGCTATGGCTGAGGCTGGCAGGGAGATAAGGTCAGTCACAGCGGCCCGAGGAGGACTCAGGAGCCCCAGCCAACCGCCCGCCCCGATTGTCTCCTGCCCTGGAGTGCACGACCCTCCCTGATCTGGCTGACCCAGTAGCACCTTTATCCAGCTCGGATTCCAACGGTGGGTCCAGAGGCCGAGGTCCCGCGCAGTCCTGTTGGCCCAGCGGGCCCGTCAGCCCGCCCTTACACAGCTGTGATTGGACCGCTGCAGCCATTGGTGTCCTGGAGACTCGTCTTGGTCCCTGTGCCAATTAGCAGGTGCTGTGGTTGGTTCCGGCTTGCCGATGGTGGCTAAGGTGCTCCTGATTCCTAGACGGTAGGTCCGGCTTTGGTGCTTCCTGGAAGCAAGCTGGGTAAATTGAGTCACTGCACCTGACAAAAAGGAGTCAAGGCTGGGCGGAGCAGAGCATGACGGGGCACCGGATTAGTAGTATCCCATTCATGCAAAGAGCATGTCCTGTATTTTGCAACCTTCTTCCGGGAACCATGTCCATTTCTGGGACACCCACTGTAGGCAGTGTTGATCATATCCTTGCATTACAAGAATCTGCAATTTGGGTCATGTGTCTGAAGTTATACTTCTGGCTAAACAATGATCCAGGAAGACTTGATAAAAACAGCCCTCCCCTAATTGCTTCTGGTCGATAACCTAAATATCTCGTGATCTGCTCCTATTTCTTAATTTGGAACATCATCCACTGACTTGCTGACATCACCGCCACTGAACATACCGTTTCCGTTTTAGTTTTCCTATTGGTTTCCTCGAAGACCCCATTTCACATCACCCACCGTCCATTCTTCCCGTCATCTTTATAGCTTTGTGTTATCCGGGTACTAACCATAATTAAGCCAGTGGGTTGCTAGGTCAAGGTAAACGCCCACATTTTTCTGCCTCAGTGAACAATGGATCTCAAAGTTGGACTGCACTGCCTATATTGAACTACCTTTTTGCTCTCCCTAAATTTAACCACTTACCTTTATGTTAAGCCTGTGTCTTAACTTTGGTTTCCTTCACACTTCGCATTCATGACAACTTGACATTGCTATTATCTTTGAGTCCTCTCTTTGAGCTGCATGGCTCATGGGTGTCTTTCAACTCTAGAACATACCCCTAACCACAGTCCTCACCCCACCACCTCCTCCCAGCTCTACCCTCAAAAAGACAGCAGTACTCACAGGAGGGTAACTTTATGTTCAGTACAAATGTTTATTTTTGCAATGAGAACTGCACAAAAAAAGAACTTTTAGTATATAAGTGAAAAGTCTACGAATTCCCTTCTACAAATGTCTAAAGTGTTTTAATACAAGTCTCAGATTCACTGACATAATTATTGGCCAAGCGATCCGTGCATACAGTACATGGGGGCTTGTACACACCTCTTAACTTTTGTATAGGACTAAGGTTTCTAGTACTGTAGGAGGGACTGAGTAAATGGCCAGAGAAATTAAATAAATCCCAGTTCTAATTACAACCCATTTAGAGAAACACCCATCAGGGAGGTGTGAAGGCGGCCATGGCAGAATTATATCTTTAGCAGGAAGGTGCAGACGAAACCATCTCTCCAGCTCAACAGTTGGACCCAGCCTGGGTGTTTCTGAACAAAATAAGGAACAAAAACGAGAGGGTGGGATGAGATGCAAGAAACCCCACAGAACCAATTTATGTCACATCTGAACTGGCAGGGTGGTGCATGAAGTGCCTGGGATGGTCAAGGACATTGAGAAAGTGTGGTGGTGGGAGGGTGCTGGCTGGATACCTTTTTCTACTCTGTGAGGCGTGGCAGATCCTAAACACAAGACAATAAAGGGCCTTTCTGGTTGAATGGTGTTATTCAACAGTGCTAGAAATGTTTGTCTCTGCATACATGTTACATACTTTATCTTACATCCCAGGGGCGGTTGTGGGTGCCACCTGTGTTTGTGGCTGGGGCATGTACTTAATAGGTGGACCAAGCAGAGAAGCTGTGGGTGGGCTTGGGTGAAAATGTGTATGATGATGATTCTATTTAGGGGAATGTACATTTACCTAAGAATATCAGGTTAACCCTGAGCTTGAATGAAAAGGAGGAGGAAGCAACCAAGGTGGAAGAAGTAGCCCAAATGCTTTGGTGCATGGGAGACCAAGATGAAGGAGGGAAAATGGGAAAAATACAGCCTGGAGTTTGACCAGGGCTCTGCGGGGACATGTCACCTACCTAGGCCAGGGTCCACAGGAATGGGCTTCTGGGCTCCCTGTCAGCTTCAGCTTGGGTGGCAGCTGTGAGCCCGAGCACCTCCTGCCCAGGAAAGGTAGGGATAAGCCACACGAAAGGGGCTCTGTGGCTACTGTCCTCAGTTCTCATGCACAGGTGGCCTGGAAGGTAGGGGTCTGGGCCTAGCCTAGGCCAACAGTAGGTTCACAAAGAAATATCAGGGAGACGCCAGCATTAAAAAAGAGAGATGTGTTTATTCCATGATCAGTACAGACCAAATGCATATTCACCGTATGAAAGTCAAACCAGTCAGTGACTCCAGAGTTTGGCCAACACTGAGGCACCAGCGTTGTGGTGTAGAGTGGGTTCTCATGGCACACGTAACCTCACCAAGGGCTCCAATTATAAAAAAGAAGAAGAAAAAAAGAAAAAGGTGTGGGAAGGAGCAGCCAGCTGTTGGGACTGGGTGCTGGGTGGGGGAGCCTCTGCTTCAGTTTGTGGCACCCCCGATCAATACTGGGGCCTACCTGTCCCCAGGCCCTTCCTTTTGTGGTAAAAAACTAAAAGATTTGATGTTAAAAAAAAAAAGCCAACAAGTGGGCAATGAGGGAAAGGAAAAAAAATTGTAGCTTTCTGGATTTATAGTTAAAAAGACTAATAAAGTTTGAAATGAGAGTAAAACGTACATGATTTTTTTTGTTTTAATTTTTTTTGTGTGGATTTTTTTGAAAAAAAAAAATTCTTTTACACCAGTTTGGTGGAGTCACCAACAAACTTCAAAGATATGCCAACTATGTTCACTATACAGTACAGCCACGGTCACACACTACCCACAGCGCGGTGGGAGCCGCCGCTCAATGAGGAGACGATCACACCATTTCGGAAATAAGCAGTGCCATTGTGTCTGGAGAAGAGAGAATTAAAAATAAAATAGAATTCAAAAAAAATATATATATAGAAAAAAAAAACCAAAAAAACAAAACACAGGTGGGAAGGACTGACTTTGGTTGGTGGCCTCACCCCGGGCAAGGCCCGCCCACACATGCGGGACGGTCACCTCGATTTGAGTTGCCATGGACACACACACACCTCCACAGCACTATTCCCTTTTGCACAAGCGAACACTTATAGAGAGCGGCTCTCGATTAAAGGCTTGTGGGGAGGGGAGAAGGGGGGTCTGTTCAAGGCAAAGTCAGTGCCAGCAACGGGGTATGCCGGTGCCCTCGCCTGCTCCCGCCCACGTGGGCCTGCCCTGGCCTTCTGGGAGCGGGTGGCGATGGCTGGGGTGTGGAGGACTCCCAACGGGCAGGACGTCACAAACGTCACGTTCTCAGGGACAGAAAACCAGTCACGGTGGCGGCAGCAACAATGTCCTGTGTATACTGTGTAGACATTTGGCGGAGAAAAGGGCCTCTTCCCCACACATGGGGATGCGGGCCTTGGGTCCAGCCGGCACTTGCTGGAATCGAGGCGTGCTCTGAGCCGACGTCCTGTGAGGAGGTGGAGGGTGGCAGGACATCCGTCCAGCTGGCTGTAAGGCAGATGGGGCTCTGCGATCCTCAGCTGCCCGTCAGGCCTGCCCCGGGCATAGCATGCAGGAGGGCCAGGCCCAGAGACACCCCTGGCCACTGCTACCGCCTCCACTGCTGCCCCTAACACTATGGAGAGTCAATGTTTTGCCAGAAAATCAAAGTCAGAAGTCACCTAGGTGCTCTCAAAAAAGATTTTCTTCAAATATTGACAAAAGATCACTCTGGAAATTCATGTCAATCGTAGCTGCCATCTGCAGAGGAAGAGGAAGGAGGGAGTAAGGGAGGTAGGATTTCCACCCCTGCTGTGTTTTGAAGACCCATCCCCATGTATTGCTTGAGGTCGACCAGCAGACCTTCCTCTGGGCCTTTTCCACAGTGCCCACAAGCAGTCTCCACCCAAGCCCAGCAGCCAGCCCTGTGTAGAGCCACGAGCCTGGACTCCCCGGCCCACTTCGCCAGCGCCTCCACGTGGATTCCTGTCCAATGGTCCCCACGAGGGCCCACAACTCACGGCCTCCCGGCGCCTTCGCTCCTGCTCCCGCTTCCGGGCCAACTCCCTCTGCTGGTCTAGCATGGACTGGGGCTGGGAGCTCTGGGCCTGGGGGGCGGCAGCTGCGGCCACGGCGGCCGCCTGCTGCTGCTGTTGCTGTTGCTGCTGCTCCTGTCGCTGCTGCTGCTGCTGCTGCTCCTGGCGCCTGCGTGCCTCCTCATGGGCCCGCCGAGCCTGCTCTAGTGCATCCTCATCCTCTCGGCTCCTAGGCAGAGTTGGGCTTGAGTCAGGCTGGAGGCTGGTGTGGGCCTGGGGAGCCCCAGCGCCCCACCCAGACCCCAGCCCACCTCAGGCGCTCTTGCCGCAACCGCTCCTTCTCCTTCTCCGCGTGCTCAGCCTGAGCCTTCAAGGCCTTTTCTCGCTCCTCCTTCTCCCGAGCTGCACGACGGAACTGCTCGAAGCTGTCACTGGATGACTTGGCTGTGGAGGACGGGGTGGTTGGATGCTTCTGTACCAGGCTGGCCCAGGAGCCCATGTTCTTGATTTTTAGGTCCTGTAGGGCAGAGAGGCCAGGGGACAAGTGAGGGGCCTGCTGCACCTAAAGGTCATGGCAGGGAGCTCAGGACACCCATGGACCTACTGCCTCTACCTTTTTGGGTGCCACTGGTGTCTTCGGCTCCTGTTTCTGCTTGTCTTTGTCAGGAGCCCCTGGAGGGGGTGCATTCGGCTCAGGGGGCCGAATGACAGGCCTCCCGACATCCACAGGCTTCATCTCAGGCCCTGGAACACAAAACAGCCTGTGGGCCTTGGCAACTCACCCTGTGGGTGTGGGGGGAATGGTCCTCAGGGGTGGGCAGGGAGGACACTCACGCTGGGGCAGGTGGACTGGGGCCTTGATGCTCTCAGCATGCTTGGGGGGCTCCGACCGCAGCGAGGGGCTGAAGGGCTCACTGCGGATGATGGGTGAGTGGATCTTCTCCTCTTTCACCACCACCAGGGGCTGGGGCTGGACCACCGAGGGTGGGCGTAGCTCCTGGGACAGCACGGGCACAGTGGCTGGTGAGGCAGGACGGCACCCTCAGCCCCAGCCCACACCTGGCCTGAGGGCCATGGCCCAGCCTGCCCTTTACCTGCTTCTTAGGCTGGACGTTTTGCTGGGGTGGAGACTGGTGGGTCAGGGTCTGGAACTGTGGCATCTGAGGGGAATGTATCATAAGCGGGGAGGGGGCTTCACGGAGGTGACCTACAAGAGGTGACGAAGAATGTGTCAGAGGCCACGAGAGAACTACAATGAAATGACAGACTCAAAGTAGAACTAACAAATACCCCAGACAAGCCTGACAATAAAGGTCCACACAATCCCAGCCTACAGGACCTGCACACCAGTACTTTGGTTTGGTTCAAATTTGTTTTTTTTGAGACAGGGTCTCACTACGTAGTTCAGGCTGGCCTTGAAGGCTGTGATTACAGAAATGTGCCACCAAACCCTGCACCAGTCTTTTTTTTGGGGGGAGGGTGTTGAGACAAGGTCTCACTATGTAGTGAGACTGACCTGGAACTCAATGTGTAGCCCAGGCTGGTCTCAAATTCACAGTGATCCTCCTGCCTCAGCTTCCCAAGTGCTGGGATTACAGGCATGTGCTACCACGCCCAGCACCCTGCACCAGTCTTTTTAAAAAGCTTTTCAGATGGTTCTAAACTATAGCTTGGTCTAGATGCAAGGGATAGCAATAAAACCACAAGGCTCAGCCCAGGATCCTTCCTTGTTTTTGTGCTGCTCGGTTTATGTGGAGAGCTCTTAGGGCCTGCGGTCTAGTTGCTAGGACTGAGGGTGATGCTCTTCAGATCCCCGTTTCCTCACACAGCAAGTTCACTCTACATAATGACAAAGCCTGGGACTGGCCTGCATCCGGACAGAGAAGCTAGAACAGGTCCTGGGGGCAGCCATCTGCATCCAACCAAGGGGTCCAAGGGACTTGGTACCTAGCACAGGTCAGAGGAGTTCTTCAGCCTCGCTGCTGGCTGACTCAGCTGGACCAGACAGTAAACAGCCCCAGCCACAGGGAGCCGGTGCTGCAGGTCACAGGCCAAGTACAGATGAGTCCCACTCATCGGAATGCATAGATACCCTCTGCCTCAATTCTATGGGAAGGGGCCTTGCTGCCTATACAGCTCAGGATAAGCCAGTGTCCACAAGAAGAAGCACCTCTAACACCTTTTTCATCCAGCCCTGTCTCCCGCTCACTTTGGTCCCACGCACCAGCCCTTGCATCGACTTCCTCCAGGTCCTCATTCCAAGCCCCTGTCTACTACCACAGGGCCCCCTGGCTCAGGTACCTATTCTGACAGGTTTACACCAAACCATGATGCCCCAGATACAGTGGACCCTCCTGTTCCCCTTCAGAGCCAAGACTCACCCCTAATCCCAGAAAGACATCATAGTCTCTTGCTGCCACTCACATGGAGGCAAAGCTCACCCTATTCTTGTGGTCCCACAACTTATGGGGCTGGTTTTGCTCACCTTGACATTTTCTCCCACTCTAGCCTGTCAGGTGCCACACTCCTCCCCTGGTCCTAGTTCCAGCTTGCCAACAATCCCCAGATTGACTTATGACAGCCTCCAGAGACTGACCTGGGCAAACAGGGTTTCACTATGTAGTTCAGGCTGAGCTAGAACTGACTCTGTATTCGAGGCTGGCTTTGAACTCAAGGCGATATTCCTGACTTAGCCTGCTAAGTGCTGCGACTACAGGCATGTACCACCAGGCCAGACTTTTAGGCCTGTGGTTTAAAGAATGGTGGCTTCAAACAGGCAGCCTAGCAGTTTGGGGGATCATGTCAGATAGGCCAGCTGAGCCTCTGTGGAACTGTGATGACCCATCTTTTGGCCCAAAGCCCCTTGCTGGATTTTAAACCACACAAGTTCTTATGCCCTGTCCTAGGCTTCAGGAGATTGGGTACAGACTTGGGGGTTCAAAACAGAGACGGCCATAGGTCTTGGCCTGGGCTGCCCTGAGTGCCCCAGCTCTTCTGACACCTATCACCTGCCTTCCACAGGAAATTTGGGATGCTGGCATGCTCTGGAGTGACAACAGCACAGCTGCGCGGTAGCCAGGCCCAGCACTAGTTTTTCCCAGGGAGGACAGCCAGATGCTCGCAGCAATCCAGGTGGCACCTGACAGTTTTCACTGGGTTCAGTAGCAGTCAGAGCCTTTGATGCACCCCCAAGGGAAACTCAGTCTTTGCTGCAAAGTCCAGGAAATCCTGGCCTGACCCTTAAGTGTAACCATGTCACAAGGCATTGATGGGAACATTTTCTAGATGGGGGTGGCCAGGACATTCTGGTTCCAGACGCTTAAAAATCAAATGCTTGGGAAAGGCAAAAGGGTATTTGGCCCATGAATGGGAAACGGGCAGCCTGGACCAGGATAGAGACCAGCACAGTTCCTAGGGAGGCCCTGCGCAGCTTTTCAGCCTCAGCCCCAGTGCTCCCAGCACACCTTTCGCGCTGCCAGGTGACCTATGGTGCTGAGGGCACAAACTGCCTATTTCCAACAGCCTCTGGTCCGGGACTAAACCTCATTCCCAACCTGCTTACTAAGTTAGTGCTTATATAGTGGTACCTTGGGTCAATTCTTTCCATAATGCTCGCCACAAACCAAGTGGATGAGAATTGAATCAATTCAACGGTTAGGTTCAAAGTTGACCTTAAGTTTGTAAACTGAGGCACCACTGTATCACGGTTACCACCTCCAGGAAGTTTCCCACCTATCCATTCTAGTGGTGCTCCAAGCAACCTTGGCTTGCCAGCAAGAGAAACACCTGCTAAACTCACTGTAGGGAGTACTAATGTTCCCTGGGTGCTTTCCCCTGTCTCCAATTACCCAGAGATTTTTGGGGCTCAGCTCTCAGCCAACCACAGCACAAGCTAACCCTTCTGGTTTTTCAAGGATTAAACTGCAGGCCCAGGACCAGCCTCCCCTCCCCACAAGAGCCCAGAGGCAAGGGCCACTTACCTGCTGAGTACGGATCTGACTTGTGGTGCCGGGGTGAAGGGTGATGCTGGATGACTTGCTGAGGTTTGGCAGGCTGTGGTGGGGGT